ATCCGTGACCATAAATACCACAGTTAGCGCACAATATGTTTAGGTCTTCATATTCTAGTTGATAGTCTTCCCTGTCAAGGTGGGATCTTGACATTAACGGTTGTCCTAAATCAATTAAGAGTTTAAGACATGTATTCTTGCAAAATGGCCCCTTAGTTGACAAGAGGTGTGTAAGCCCACCTTTATCATAATGCCAATTCTATTTCCAATATAGGCAAGAGCTTCATTGTCATAATATTCAAGGAAGACCCATGATATATGAACCCAGCATGCTACCTCATCTACAGTCACATTTTGAGGTGTGAATTTTGGCTCCTATGGTCTAGTAGTAAGGTAGTGGTCATATATCATCTGAGGGCCACCTATGGAGAGTGAAAGTAGTCTTCCTTGTTTGATAACTTGACCACAAAGTAACCATAACCTATGTTGATAAGTCGGATGACTCCCTTTTTAGCCTAGATTGTCTGCAAGCGTGATTCCAAAGCCTTGAAACCAATAATCTTGTCCAATAGTTTAACAATGACAGCTTTCTTCTAGGCCTTGTAAAGTCTTTTCTTGACTTTTGTTGAAAAAAAAGGTAGGGGAGTTTCTTTAAGATTCTTAATAGTTTGATAGTCAGGTTCCATTGGGTCTGTTGTATTGTCATCGAAGTTGTTCTCATCTTCCTTTAGTTCATCATCCAAAGAGTCTTCCTCTCTGTCAATACACTTAAGCTTTTCTACAAAAGTCAATTTTTGTATAGTTTTTCTTGATTCTTTATCACCCAACTTAGGCCAATGGCCCTGTAAGAGATTCTCTTCACTTGTACCATTAGCATTTTTAATCTTCTTGAAGCTCCATGCGAGTTGATTATCTTCTTCCACAATTTGAGGGCTACTTTGATGGAGAGAGAGTTTCTTGAAGGGAGACATCGAACACATTTCCTTCCTTCATGAGTTGAGATTTATAGTCATAGATATTGTTAAATAATAATGAAAAATATAAGGAAAAAATATTAATATGTGGCTCAAACAATATCTTGCTTTCCATTCGGCCCAACCAACAAATAGTCATGATTAGAATTTGAAGTGCTAAGGCTTGTTAAGCAATCTAGAAGGCCCGGTCCATAGCCTGATATTTGTGACCCAAAGCAATGCCTAAGGTTAAGTCCGGTTCTACCAAGTAAAGCTTATTTTTACAAGGTGTTAGAATGCAAAAAGCCTTGTAATTTAGTGGTTTACAAGCTCTTTTATAAATGAGAAGTTGCAAATCACATCTTGCTTATAACTTTAAGTTGATAGTATCTAACCCTCCAATAAAAAATGTTTATTTATACAAGGTGGTAGTCCAAATAGTTTTTTTTTAAAAAAAATGGAATAGTGTTTTTATATTAGGTGACTTGTAAATAATTTTTTTAAAATCATTCTCACACCCTACACACACTCTCTCTCTCTCTCAAGAAAGGCCACACAACCCCACACGCACTCTGCTACTCACCTGAAATTAATTTGAACTCACGACATTTTTCATGTAAAGTCCTCTTGATAACATTAGCTATTTTTTTGAGTGGAAAGATTTTGCTGCACAAAGGACCAGTATTAAGCATGCTCTCTAAAAATCATTTTAGATTAAAAATTTGTACCCAAACAACATCCTCCATTTTTTAAAAGTGTAAAAGCACTTTCTAAATGAAAAAGGTTAGGAAAACTAACCATCAATTCAATGGCTAAAATAAAGGATATTTCAATAGTTTAAATTTAAATGAAATAAATAGATTCTGGGGATATTCGGTCAGGATGGTTTGGAATTATTGGCGAGGGATCAGGCCTTAGAAATGCGTAATGAGAGGGACAAGGGGGTGTCAGTTTATGCCAATTGAACCTTGTTTGGCTGCTCCACCACTTGGAAACTTTTAAAACTGAAACTTATTAAAATAAAGAATAATGGGCGGTGCTGTGCAATGCAATGGAATGACTTGTGTGAGGAAGAGCTGAGAACATTTATTAACGAAAAGATGACGAGATCAAGTTTGGTTGCTAACATGGGGAGGGATGATGTCTCTCTTGCCACATACTTTCGCATCACCATTTGCCCTTTTCTGATTTAACCATGTATCAGGGCTAAGGTATTACCGAATCGAGTTTGATCACATCTATTTAAATTTATTTTTATAAATGTTTGAGTTTGAAAAATCAAATATTTTTATGTAACTAGACTGTTGAGCCTAGTAGTAAAAATAGGTTGAGGTTCGAGTAACCTTTCAAGTCTCATTAATTTTGTTAAAAAACATTTGAAAATGAGGAAATATGAATGTTTTGTAATTCATTTTCCATGACATTTTATAAATTAAAATATCCCTTTTGTTTTCTTGGTGAATTTGTTATTTAAATTGTTTTCGTGATAATGTGATATTGTAAAATAATTATTGATTTAATTATTTCAGCAAGTTTAGGTATGAAATATTTGATTCTTCCAACTTCAAATTTAAATTTAAATTATCATGAGTATATTGGCCATAATGGTGATTCTGTGATGGAAAACTATTGTTTTTTATATATAGGACCATCTTCGTGGCTTGAAATTAGTTCTCTTCTCTCATCCTATCTATATGCAGTTTATACACATATATCTTATATCTTGAATGATTAATATGTAAAAGCTTACTTATGATTGTGTTATGATTGAGAATCTAGATTTGTTCTATTTATTTTGATTTTTTTAAAAGATTTTAATTAATTTGTAATATTATAATGTTCAACTTTATTTTTGAAAACAATATTTTTTTAAGGAAATGGCTTGTGGCCTAACCCTAAGTTCTTTGAATAAGGATCCAACTTTTTAAATTTAAGGGATTCAAGCTTATGGGCTTGAGTTCATAATGGCCAAGCTTGCCTGTTTCTCAATTCTATAGGGCATGCCTCTAGACTTAAATAATGTTCACAAATGTAAATACAAATTGCCTACTAATAAAGTTTTTAAATTGACAATTGAATTTGATTTCATAACCTTTTGAGTTATGAGCTAAATTCTTATCAATTAAACTAACTTTTATTAATTTGATGAATCTCCACTTTATTAGTTACTTCTTTGATCTTTTTTATAAGGCAGAGAGATAATATTAATTATGGTCAATTTTTATAAAGTACTCTACTATTTTTTATATTTATGTTTATCTTTTGCTCTTATTAAATGCTAATAAAAATTATTAAAATAGTTTTTTTGGTCTCTATTAAGGAATAGAGGTAAAAACTTATTAAATTTTAAGACAAAATTAATAAAATTTAATATTTTTTAATTCTAATAAAATATATTAAAAATAATTTTTAAATAAGATTAGAGAAAGTAATTGACATGTGTCCCTCGTTAAACATCAAACCTTCGCGTCACATATCATCTCCTCTAACTTATTTATCCATTGAAGAGATATCTGTCAACCTGCATATCTTCAAAGTCATCGAGTCTCATATGTTGGCTTACTGCCTCCATGGTTACAACAAAGTATATCATTCTCCTTGAAATTTAAACAGTTTTGCCATTAATCATGTTTTCTTATAAGAAAAAAAATTCAAGTGGGTTGAACCCCAGTAGCTTACTAGGGCCAAAGTTTGTCTTTGAATTCAAAAAGTGTTTACATAGAAGCTTATAAATTGCTTACCAACAAGATTTTCATACCAACAACAATATTTGATCCCACAACTTTATTAGCAATGATATTCCAAATTTTTACCAACTAAACCAACATTTACCAGCAACTAATCATGTTCTTTCACTTAGACTCATCCTGTCATTAATTCCTAAGCTTGAAAGGTAATGTATCAACATTCCACTTCATATAAAAATCTTTCAAAGTGCAAATGATAGTCTAAACCTATTAATCACGCCGCCCAATTTAATTTCATCTTAAATAATTAAAGCTCCTAAGCGCTACGTTGAACTCTGTAAGCCCAATACGCGACCGTGCACAGTAAAAGGGGACAAATATATTCAGTAGTACTGAAGATAGAGGTGTGCGTTAATACATGCTTTCACTGAATATAAAAATATACCCACTTTCCTTTTTAGGTCAACCATTCCTCTATTCACGAATCAATGAACATGCATTCAATATTTAATCACTTAATCTTACTTCTTTTTAAATAAAAAAGATCAATGTATAATGTAATGAAAAGGAAAATAACAACATTAATGTTTCCAAAGTATTAAAAGGGAGGGGAAATTGGCTAACAAGTTCTCAGTAAAAGCATAAACACGAACAGAGCAAAACGAAGATAGCAAGAAATTAAAACAATGTCCTGCCCGATGACCTTTTGAGGGTTGTTTTTCATGGAATATAAGGATTGATCAGCCGCTTCTTATAGCAATATATCTCCTGATTACTTGACAACCCCGGCGACAGTACGATTTTCTCATCATGATGAAAAGCACCATTTCTTAGCCTAAGAATAACATAATAATGTTTTGCAGGAGCCATGGCAATGAAGAAATAATGGCCTTGATCCTATTGACATTACCAATATTAGCAAAATGAGAAGAGTGCATGGATAAAACATCAAACCAGCTTGATGTATTGTATGTATGGGCATGTACATAAACTATGATCAATTGATCGATCCTTCTTGGAACACAAACACATAATTTTTTTTAATTGAATTAACGAGTAAATACTCATCTTATTTCTTATTTAGTAATTAATGACATTTTTTTTCATTGAATGGACCAATACAAGTTTTTAAAATTACAGCAAGTGCCTAGCAACTCGATTGTGAAGGTGGTTAGATAAAAGTTACCATATCATGCCATATTTGGAAATAAAATTTGTGATCAGTAATATGAATAAAAAAATGAAGCAGCTTGCATTGGAAAAACTGTGAGAGAGGAAGCAAGCGTAAGGATCGCACTGGGAAGCGGACAGCGTGGGAAGCAACAGTCCAGAACAACCAATGCTGGAACTCCTGATTTCATTCCCTCTCTGTTTCATTCATTATTCGCAATCCCAAGGCACCACAAGTCCACAACACAAGACAACAAACTAATCTCTTCTCCTTCATTCAATGCCTCACGCCCAGCTTCCACTCCGCCCCCTCACCCCTCACTCCTCCACGTGTCTCTCTTCCCTTCCTCATCACTCCTTTCTCCTCTCCATTTCCCTCTAATTTTAGCCTTCTTTTCTTGCTACTTTTAAGAGCTCAGCTCACGTTCCATTTAAGTCTTTTCCCATTATTCCAAATTCATCCATTTTTGCACCTCCTTTCCTGTTCAGCACCTCACTTCTCTCTTACCCTGCGTGCAAATTCACCCAATTTGATTCTTTCGCCATCCAGACACCCCTTTATAGAAACCACGTCCGCGTTGGATAACTCCAGAGTTTCCGTATTATTCAAGAAACCGCAGGCTATTATCATTCACTCTGTTCTCGCACGGCAAAAATTGCTTGTTTTTTAAGACTCTGCATGCCTTATTTCTGTCGACTAAAGGCAATCAGAAAATCGGCTTGGAAGTGAGGGAAAATGGCTGGGAATGAGTGGATTAATGGGTACCTGGAGGCCATCCTCTCGACGGGGGCTTCCACCATTGATGAGCAAAAGGCAGTGCCTGCTCCTCTGAGAGAAGGAGGGCATTTCAATCCCACCAAGTACTTTGTGGAAGAGGTGGTGATGGGTGTTGATGAGTCTGACCTGCACCGCACGTGGATCAAGGTGGTTGCCACACGCAATTCTCGCGAGCGCAGCTCCAGACTAGAGAACATGTGCTGGCGCATTTGGCATCTTGCTCGCAAGAAGAAGCAGGTTCTTCTTACAAGCCTCTACACTTTATTGAACGTGCATAATGATAAAACGCATCGATACCAGCATCACCTGGAAAATATTATCCTCCTCCACTCATTTGTGATTTTCTTTTTGTACCAAGTGAACAAAAAAATTGATTTGTGACAAAAAATTTCATGTAGTTTCATCTGCCAATAAAAATGCCAGTCCTATGCATGTCTATTCGTTGACCCGACACTGTTCAATTTCTTCGAGGTACCTTCCCCTATGCTGGTATAAGCAACCTTTCAGTGTTTAATAAATAAGAATTCTTAATCCTCATGTATTAAATTGTTCTGGATTAACCCGAAGGCAATTTATGTTTAAATTTTTAATACAAGGATAAATTAAACTGTTCTAGACATGGAATATAACCTGTGAGTTACCAGAAACTGTCTCGTTCAAGTTTTCGAGTTACTTTGCCTTGATCCTTCAACCAAGTAACAAATCAAGGAAAGTACTATTTATTGCGAAGTAAGTGCATGTGAGGCTAATTGCCACAGCCGTGTGCTTTGTACAGTTGGAATGGGAGGAAAATCAGAGGTTGGCAGATCGAAGGTGGGAGCGAGAACAAGGACGCAGGGATGCTACAGAGGACATGTCCGAGGAATTGTCAGAAGGAGAAAAGGGGGATGGTTTGGGGGAGAGTTTGCAGATTGAGTCCCCGAAGAAAAGGTTCCAGCGCCAAATTTCTACCTTGGAAGTATGGTCTGATGATAAAAAGGAAAAGAAGCTCTATATCGTCCTCTTAAGGTATATACAGTTTTTGCCATTTGCTTAGCCCGTCATTTAGAGTTATCTTAAATCGATACGTTATTCAATACCTTCGCCAGTGATTACCAAAAAGAAAAAAAAAAAAAAACTTTAGCTATGCGTCGGATGCATTTGCCTGTTATCTACGCTGTTTAGTGCAGATGCTGGGAAGGGCGTCGGAGTTAGTTTCTAAGACTCTCACATGCGAAAATATAACTGGTGATAATGCCCTTATTTCTTTCATCGTCTGTGGTTTTGCATATTGGGTGGAAAGTGGTCTTGATGTGGTTGGGAACTCTCTGAAGATTAATCTGGTTTAAATATTATTAATACAAGAAAGAAGAAAATGGAATTGCGTTGTGGGCAATGTACTATCAATAATACACACATTTACTCATGGTTTTGACCTTTATTTTTTATCGTAGACCTAGCCTTGCACTGTGAATGCTTTAAACGATAAATTCTAGAAATATATAATTGATAAGTTTTGACTATAAAATTGTCCTTTTGTTCCATAGTTTGCATGGATTGATTCGAGGAGAAAACATGGAGCTTGGTCGCGATTCTGACACTGGTGGACAGGTAACTGTCAATCTTACACTGGCAAATGACAAAGAAATTCCTTTTATTGCTTCCATCTATTTGGTGCATGATGCTCGAAGCAATTTATTTCCAGATCAAATATGTGGTGGAACTTGCTCGGGCACTTGCAAAAATGCCCGGAGTGTACAGAGTAGATTTGTTCACACGTCAAATCTCATCACCTGAGGTTGATTGGAGCTATGGAGAACCTACAGAAATGTTAACCACAGGTTCAGGTGATGATGATAACATTGATGCTGGAGAGAGCAGTGGTGCATATATCATAAGAATACCCTTTGGTCCACGTGATAAGTATCTCAGGAAAGAACTGCTTTGGCCCTATATTCAAGAATTTGTGGATGGGGCTTTAACTCACATTCTCAATATGTCAAAAGTGTTGGGTGAACAAGTTGGTGGGGGTCAACCTGTTTGGCCATATGTAATTCATGGACATTATGCTGATGCTGGAGATAGTGCAGCTCTTCTTTCAGGCGCTTTGAATGTGCCAATGGTGCTGACAGGTCATTCACTTGGAAGAAATAAGCTTGAGCAGCTTATCAAGCAGGGGCGTCAATCCAAGGAGGATATCAATTCAACATATAAGATTATGAGGAGGATAGAGGCAGAAGAACTTTCCCTAGATGCTGCAGAACTTGTTATCACTAGTACAAAACAAGAAATTGAGGAGCAATGGGGACTTTATGATGGCTTTGATGTCAAACTCGAGAAAGTCTTACGTGCACGTGCTAGACGGAATGTTAATTGCCATGGCCGGTTCATGCCAAGGATGGCGGTAAGACTGCATTTTTATGTTAATGCACCTCTCCTTAATCTGAGAATGCTTTAATTCAATCTACACTACACTTGTTTATGTGTTTTATTTCCATTGCATAAAATGCTCCTCCAAAATATTTCTTTCTGAAGCATTTTGTGAGAAGCTCTTTGCAAAGGCATTTTGCCATACTTGCCAACTTTACCAACTGAATGTAGGAGTTCTTCCTCTGCTTGCTTATAATTTTTGGGTTTTGTGATTATTCACTTACTTAAACTGAATGCATTTCCATTGAATGTCTTAATAGATCACCATTGATGCATGTATTCTTCAGGTTATCCCACCTGGTATGGACTTTAGCAGCGTTGTGATCCAAGAAGATGCCCCAGAAGTTGATGGGGAGCTTACACAACTAACTGGCGATGGGACTTCACCTAAAGCATTACCTCCAATTTGGTCAGAAGTGAGTAACTTGTATGTGTGCATATAAACCTTTATGTAATGGACATACAACTTACTACTGCTTGCAGGTGATGCGTTTCTTTTCAAATCCTCACAAGCCAATGATCTTGGCCTTGTCAAGGCCAGATCCAAAGAAGAACATAACCACTTTGTTGAAAGCATTTGGAGAATGCCGTCCCTTAAAAGAACTTGCTAATCTTGTTAGTGTACTTAATGCAATTATCCCTCTTTGCTAAGTAGAACCTGTGGTAAGTTTCTTGTTAAAGGACTAACATCTTTTCAAACAGACGCTTATAATGGGAAATAGGGATGACATAGATGAGATGTCATCTGGGAATGCTAGTGTGCTCACAACAGTGTTGAAACTAATTGACAAGTATGACTTATATGGGCAAGTGGCATACCCCAAGCATCACAAACAAGCTGATGTTCCGGATATATATCGACTTGCTGCAAAAACAAAGGTAAAATGAAAATTTCAATATATTGTTATACCTGTGATATTCTAACTGTGATTAGAAGTTGATTAATTTAAAATTTGTCTCAGGGAGTTTTCATAAATCCAGCTTTAGTGGAGCCTTTTGGTCTTACTTTAATTGAGGTTGGTTATAAGTAACTGGTCATTTTTATTATTTTCATTTCGATCTTAAAACTGTGCACCTTTCATCGGTACTTGTTCAAACTTATTCAGGCAGCGGCACACGGGCTTCCCATGGTGGCCACTAAAAATGGGGGACCGGTGGATATTCATCAGGTAAATGAAGAGTGCCCTTTATTTTAATTTTTCCTTGTCAATTTCATCATTTAGGTTACAGTTTAGATAGTCTGTATTTGTTACAATATGAACTATGTACTTGGATGTAGGAACGAAATTTGAAAATTAATTGTATCAATCTCTAGTTGCTGTCTTGCTGATATTGTTGTGGATTTTAATTTTTCTTTTTCCAGTTATTTATGGTTTTCAAGCAGTATCAAATATGCCTATAATCCCTGGTTTGCTTGTCTTCCCACCATATTTCAGGCCCTCCACAATGGTTTACTCGTGGACCCCCATGGTCAACAAGCGATTGCTGATGCATTGCTTAAGTTATTGTCAGAGAAAAACCTATGGAATGAGTGCAGGAAAAATGGTTTGAGGAACATACACCTATTCTCATGGCCTGAACATTGTCGTACTTATTTGACTAGGGTGGCAGCCTGCCGAATGAGGCATCCACAATGGCAAACTGATACTCCGGGGGATGATGTAACTATCGAGGAGTCTTTGAATGATTCACTTAAAGACGTGCAGGACATGTCCCTAAGGCTCTCAATCGATGGGGATAAATCTTCACTAAATGAATCACTTGATATGGCTGCAGCCAGTGGTGGTCCTGAGATGCAAGACCAAGTGAAACGTGTCCTAAGCAGGATGAAGAAAGCAGATTCTGTTCAAAATCAAGATGTTAAGAATAAGCCACTTGATAATATACCAGGAAAATATCCTCTCTTGAGAAGAAGACGCAGACTGATTGTTATAGCACTTGATTGTTATGACAATAAAGGAGCTCCAGAGAAGAAGATGATCCAAATTGTGCAGAAAATCGTGAAAGCTGTTCAACTAGACCCTCAAGCTGCGAGAGTTTCAGGATTTGCTCTGTCAACAGCTATGTCAATGCTAGAAACAATTGAGTTACTTACATCAGGAAATATTCAAGCAAATGAGTTTGATGCTTTAATTTGCAGCAGTGGAAGTGAAGTTTACTACCCTCGTGCTTATGCAGAAGATGGAAAGCTTTTGCCAGATCCGGATTATGCAGCACATATTGACTATCGTTGGGGATGTGAAGGTTTGAAAAAAACCATTTGGAAACTAATGAATACAATTGAAGGTGAAGACAATTCAAATAAACCTTCCAGTCCAATTGAGGAAGATAAAAAATCAAGTAATGCTCATTGCATCTCATACGAAATAAAAGAACTTAGTAAGGTATATGAAACTTACTACTGTGCTTGCATGATGGTGCAGGAGCAAAAGCACTTAATTCAAATGCTTCTTTCACTTTTGCAGGCAAAGAAAGTTGATGACTTGAGGCAGAAGCTTAGGATGCGAGGTCTGCGTTGTCATCCTATGTACTGTAGGGCATCAACTAGAATGCAAGTTATTCCACTCCTTGCATCTAGAGCTCAGGCACTCAGGTAAACTGTTCATAATGAACAGCATAGGGCATTTTGCAATAAGTTATCATTTAACCATTGCTCAGACCAAGGTTTGAATGCTTGCTTTCATGACTAAGGGAGGATGTAGAAACTACTATTCTTAACCTTGTCGAGAGGTACTAGAAGAGAATCAAAGAACTCAGGAAAGTTCATTCAAATCACTTATTTGTTTAATAGCCATATGTTCTCGCAACGCCAATGAGCAGTGTTGTTGACGAGTCTGAGCTTACTATCTTGTAAGAAAATATGGAAGTAAGCTCATGTTGTTACCCTAAAAAATTGTCAAGTTTCCCGCCAACGATAAAGGTAAGAAAAAAATGATTGATAGATCGTAACAACGGTGAGATTTGCATAAACTTTTGTAATACCCCTTTCATTTTATTAATTTGAGCATACCACTTGCTTTAGAGCATCTGATTGTTAAAATTTATGTGATATTATAGACAGTTAAATTTATGTCCCTGCATAAAAGTATATTATTGGCTTAATATTGCTATATTGTCCTCTTCTATACAACTATTCTTATTAAAAGAGAACAAACTATTTCACTCACTAAATTTACATGCAACCTCCAAATCTTGCGTATTTGATATCAATTATTCAATCGAGATAGCATTATGGTGTTCACTGAATGAATCATTACCCTTAATTTTCATTCTCCTTAGTTTAATATTCAGAAAGACGATGTTTTATCAAGTGGTAGAAACAATATTGAAGTAGGTAGATGTAGAATTCAACTCTGCTTGTACCAATCATAGAGTAAAATGGTGTGTAATAATTAGTAATTGACTGTTTGCTATGGCTGATTTTAGGTATCTCTTTGTCCGTTGGAGATTGAATGTTGCAAATATGTATGTCTTCCTCGGAGAAACTGGGGACACTGATCATGAGGAACTGATTTCTGGAACTCACAAGACCATAATCCTGAAGGGAGTGGTGTCCAAGGGTTCGGAGCAGGTGCTTAGGAGTCCAGGAAGCTACCAGAGAGATGATATTGTCCCAACTGAGAGCCCCCTGGTCGCAAGCATTAGTGAAATAACGGAGGACAAGATTGTTGATGCTTTGAAGCAAACCTCTAGAACTGGAGGAATGTGAGGTTCTAGAGTGATAGGTACATATTCTTTTCCTAATACATTCACTTTTTTAGAGCACAAAATGGAAAATGAATGTAATTCTGTTATTTTTTAACATAGGGTTTAGTCAAGCTGTACCTAGATTGTGGCTCTGTGTTTACAAAATACAAATATTCTTGTTATATACATTATAAAGTTGGGTCAACTCTTTAAGTCTAGTACAGTTACGTGTGATGAGTAATTAGGGAAATTTCATGTCTTCGGATATATTGCAGTCCTGAGATCGAAGTACAATGTGATGAAACTTTTATGAATTTTGAGGACGTATCCGTTACTGACCCTGAGGCGGCAGAAAAGGGAAACACAATGTCTGATGATGCTTTCTAGGATGGATGAAGCTTAAGATTCATTTTTATCCCTTGTCCCACTATACCTTCAATTAAAAGGCCTCGATTTACTTATAATATGAAACATCAATTCAGTTAAACTTTGTCATGGAACTATCATTAAGAAATAAAATAGATCTGAAAAGTGAAATTAATGATAAACAATGATTTTTTAATTAAAAAATTGAGTGAAAATTATGTGCCCCTATTTCCAAAAATAAAAGCATTAAAAAAAAAAAGACTCGCCAGCACAAGCATGCTAAACATAATGAGAATGGGCAATTGACCTTAGGGGAAATAAATGGCTGAACAAAAGCGAGTACTCATGATACTCTATTCGATGCATTACCACTTATTAGTAGGAAGCTGCAGCAAAAAAATCAAAGAAAAACAAAAACAAAATGAATGTGCATCCTTTCTCTTTCTCCCTCTGTACTGGCAAGTGGCAACTAAAACTTCCACGTAATTTTAGTATTGGAGACTTGCTGTTGCACCACAAACACAGAAGCTCTGCCCCCATAATCTGATGAAGCAAGCAAATCGCCAATGGAACCTAACTCAGGAAATTCACTCCATTGTGCAAGCCCAAATGTTTGAGGCGTGTTGATCTCATGCCTTCTCCCAACTATAAAAAAGTCATGCCCATTTACTATCTCACGAATAAAAGATGATGTTTGAGTCCCATCATTAGAAGAAATCTCTCTGTATGTTACATTGCTCAAACCGGAATAATCTTGCTTGACATCTTTCAGCACCGATCTGTCAAGGATGTTTTCCAAGTTTGATGTTCCTGAGTCGTCGTCGCCAACAAGGTGGTACACAACAAGGTTGACCCTCGGATCCCTAGCTGCTCTTTTGGCTAAGCACAAGGCCTCTCTATCATCATCCCCTCCCAGGAACACCATGGCTACCCTTAATAAGGAATCTTTTGGATGGGGAGCACGACCAACGAGGATTCCAACCGAGCAGGGAGCTCTTTCCAGGAGCTTCAAATTTGTTGATCTTATGTTCTTGTCATCAGACTCGATCATGCCATCAACGGACCATCTTCGATGGAATGGAAGGATTATCATGGATGCAAGTTTGTCTAAAGCCAGTATACAAACATCTTCATGCATGAGGTTATGTGAAGAGATTACCGTGTAAGTGTTTATTGATGCACCTACTGTTTCACGTTCGTAAAGATCAAAAGCTAGAATGACCTTGTCCGAGTAAGATTTGAGTGAACCTGAGACTGGCTTTTGAAGACGATGTGGGACAAAAACGGGCAATGACCTCCCAACTAGTTCAATTAGATGCAAGGCATCCACAGTGATAGGACTGTCTTCTGTTGGACAACAGAGATCAAGAAAATCAGTGATAGGAGATATGTGGGATGCTTTATGAATGCAAGCGACCATTCTCAGCTCAGAGCCGGATCTCAGACTCATGATGTTCCTTTTCTGATAGCCAGTGTATTTTCTTGCTGGATCATACAAGTATTTCACAGACATTTGCGTAATGCTTGCTAAGATTGGTACAGACGCCATCAAGACTCCATAAGCTTGGCCACTCAAAACCTGCACATATTTTTGAAGACGACTCGGTCACTCGTTCAAACAAGTTATTAAAGCAAGTGCGTTGAAGATGATGATCTTATATGCGGTTACCTTTTCATCATATACATTGTGGTACAAGAATATTTCCACTACCCCCTTACAGTTCATAATGAGGGCAATGGTCAATCCATCACGTAAGGGCATCTTGCAACAAAGTGAAAGTAGCAAATAGGCTAATGCTTTGACAAAATGGGTCAGAATGATGAAGGCAACAATAGTTAAAACTACTGTCAGTGTGTAGTCCAATGAAAAATCGACCTTAATCGCACAAGTAGTCACAAAGATTGGCAAAAGGAACCACATGCCAAACAGTTGAAGCTTCTTAACCAAGGCAGAGCCCAATGGAGGCCCTTCTGGGACAGACAATCCAAAGATGAAAGGTCCAAGGACGAACTGTTGGTGCAACATTAGTGAAATCCAACCAAGAGCCAGGACCATTCCAATGATGGCAAATATGTAATGATCCTTCACAGGTCTTCCTTGTGGTGTACGTTTAATGATCCAAAACATGACTGGTCTGGATACTAATGGAATGAGGATAACGAAGGCAAAAAATAATGTCAAGCCGAGGAAATCCAATTTACCGTCAATCCTTTGTTCCATGGCACTTCCAAGACTTACTACAGTTAAGCCTATTATATCACTCACCAACGCTGTGGTCAATGCCAGCCTTCCCAATTCAGAGTTTATGATTTTAAGGTCATTGAGGAGGCAAGCAACCACAGGAAATGAAGTTATACTGTGTGATAACACAGCAACCTTAAGGTCCCCGAAATGCGGTCCCAAAGCATTCTTTAGCGGTTCAGAGAACAATGACAAGCATGAAAGACCAGCCATCACAGGTGCCACCAATCCTATCAAGGCAATGCTCCAAACTCTGTTCCCTGTTCTTGTGATCATGCTAAAATCCATCTGTACAGATGTTATGAATGTGAAGAATGCATATCCCATTGATGTTACTCCTGCAAGCACACCTTGACTTCCGAATGGAAACAACATCTCCCTGTAGCGATTCAAGTTCAATGGCTCTATCTCAAATGATGGCCCTAAAATCAGACCAGCCTGCAAATGGGCCACAATTAATTGTAACAAGTCGTAATCGCAGATTGGAAATAGCAAATTCTAAAAGGAAAACTGTTGTTCCCACCATGATTTGTGAAAAAAAGAGAGTCAATCCCAAACGATTGAAGAAGAAATGGCAGATGTGGGTGATTGCGAAAATCACAATAATCTGCAATTCAAAAATGGGCAATGCAGACCTCATCGGGGTTCGACCACTCTGTTGGCCACCCCAGAGACCATCAGAAACTATATTTGGTGGAGTCTTGATGCAAACTTGATAAGTCTCGTCATGATTCGATGCATTCAAAAACGTAAATGCCTCAAATAATGTCTCATTGGCATTCATGTTCATCTTGGTAGACCCACGTCCCCACGCACACCCAGTCAGATAGAGAATGGGTGGGTGGAGACGTGATAGGCAATTGGAACGATACGTAGGTACGTATCAATATATAGTTTGATATCTTCAAGGAATAGGAATATAATGTCAGATAATAGAAGATGCTAAATTTAAGAGAGGAAAGTGAGTATAATAACGTTGTATTTTGCTTTTCCGGTCATAGTTGCTTCGGTGTGAGGGTGAATGAATTTGCGGTCACAATATGCTGCTTTCAATGGGACAGACAAGGTGGCAATCAATATGTCCTCGAAATAAACACGAGACAAGTCAGACAGCTCCAGAATTAGATCTAGCTTTTATTTGTTTATTTTAAAAAGCCATCTTCGAAGAACGTATTAGCTTTTCAGCATTTGTTGGCAACCAAAGATTTCTCTGGAAATTGGATCCTTTATCAGGCTGATAGAGAAATTGAAAGGCCTACTAGTCTACTCATCATTTTCAAATTTGATAATAATAAAATTTACATTTTTTAATTTTATATATTAAAATATTATATAAAAATTAAAAATAGTGCCAATTAATTTTACAATTAACTATTCTTTTTTTCTCATCTGATTATAATTTACTATTCAATTCCAAACAATTTCCTATCTATAATAACAAGTTAAACTTTAAATAATCAACAGTCAATCATCGCAAGATTGAATGCCAATTCATTAGCATCTATGTTGAAACGATTATCACCATCATTAGATTCAACTTCAAGATCACCAAGTAAGTTCATGATTGAAAGGGCCTGTCATATCCATGTTTTCATCGCTTAATTATAATACATGATAATAATAATAATACTTATACAACATCATAGTATAAGAAGAAAAATAAAATATTAACCCCGAAAATGATGTCATTCGACACCAACAATAAAAAATAGGAAAAAAAAGGTCTAAATTTAATAATCGACTGTTTTTTCTTCTTCATCAATTGACTTCTACAATGATCAGCTTTTTACAGATTTGGAATTTACAGAACGGTTCATTGGCTTTTGGCTGAACTGGATTATTTGATCCGAGTCATATAGTTTTTGTTCGCACCTTTCATGTGTCAAATGACTAGGAATTGACAATCATCATATTAATTTTACAAGAATTAAACATATCCGATTCGTTATAATATTTATCATAGGGCCATAGGCAGTTAGTTTTCGAATAGTATTAGGGTGTAACTAATTTTAAATCAACAAGTTTTGAAGTCTAAACCCCGAAGCAAAATATGTTCTTATTAATTCTAACCTTAACATCTTGTGCCAAAAAACAAAAACAAAAACAAAACAAAAAAAAAAGAATATTTAACAATACATTTTTCTACAGTGCCTATAACATTTAAATTTAAAATTATCAATTTGCAATACCAATTTTATATATATTTGCATTTCCTTCATATATTCCACTTAAACTTTACAAGAAAAATTCTGCAGCAGTTGCTAATTATAACGGTCTTCATTATAAAACCTTTTTTTTTTTTTTTGGGATTTGGATTTTAGAAGCAAGGCTTGGATTTGGATTCCTAACGCATCAGATAAACTGCTTCAGAAACTCTGCAGCTACCAGCCTCCCTCGTGTGTTCACTGACATTTTAAGTTCGCTTATCTCTTTATCAATATCCTGCAAGTTAGAAAGCATTAGTCTGCAAAGTTGTCAAGAAAACCATCAATATGACAGGCATTCAAACATAACAAGTTGACTTCAGCAAGCACAACCACAGCGGCGAGAATGAGATAAGAGAGTTTATGTAATTCATCAAATAAGCCTCATATGCTTCGATAAACAATTACACATATGTCAAACACCCGTGTGATAATAATCCTTTAATGAAGATAGTTTAGTCCCTAAAAAATGTTACATTACACTTTATGGTTGAAACCATGAGGGACGCCATCAATCCCTGCTCATTACCAAGTGTCAACAATAATGATACAGCGCTTATAGGTCTATAATTTGTGATGCCAACTTCTGCTCTTTAAATGAATCCCTATGTTATGTAGACCAATCAGACAGGAGATTTATGATAAGCAAATATTTTCCGTGTGAGATTGTGACACTCCCATTTCATAAGCACATTACTATCTATTGCATTCAGATAATGCATCTATTGCATTCAGATAATGCCCATGGAAAAATTTGAAGTTTGTGGAGGCTCATCTTTTTGTGTATTAGTCACAAAATGAAAGGCAAAATCAGGTTAAGTAAACTCTTGCCTCCATAAATTGCACTATAAAATCTATGAGTTTGTGCTTCTGCATCTCCTCACAATGGTAATTTGTTACAAGGAAGCTGATGTCATATCCCTGCAGGTGAAGCAACAGAAAAGGACATTCAGATGCTACTAAATAAATTACATAAACAAAAAAGTTGTCTTCCACCAATTGCATCAGAAAATATTGACACTTGCTAACAGCATGCGGAAACTAAAGTGCATCTGCATTGCTGCTGCAACTTGTACTCAGTAATAACTGGTCTACATCAGGATCATAACATTGTCTGATGTAGCTGTATTTGAAATGTACTTGAAACTAAATATTGAATTGTACTTCTGTTTTCTGGGAGGATATCTCCTTCTTTCTTTGGGATAAAGTTCTTTCTTCCATTGAAAGGAGCCAAAAAAAAAAAAAAATCACAATATCTATGCAGCAAGTCAGCAACCTCAAGATATATTTAATAATTTTCAAAGATGGAGCCTAAATATTGAGTAATTCTGTTTTCTGGCAAGCAGTGTTTACCCTGCTTTTCTACCTGCCCTCAATAACATGTCCATCATCAAGTCAAAACATTATCTAGCACACAGTACATATTACATACAATAGTAATTTGCTCAGAAAAATGATTACCCGGCACCATCAGGGTGGAAAGCCAATGTCTAATTGATCGATAAATACAAACCTGTACTGGCTTTCTCCTCAATACTTGAAAAGCCTCAGCTCTCATAGACAAGAATCTAAGAAACTTCTTGGTCAAAATATTTTCAAGTTCATCAGCCTGCTTAACCTACAAAAGATGAAGGGAAGTTATAGTAAAAAAGTGAGGACAAATTGCAGTCAACATGTGTGTGTTACGGTTAAAAATGGATATATTTCATTCAAAGGCTGTAAGCTAACCAACACAGAAAATTAGATGGTGAAAAGAATTTACTGCCTTCTGGAGTGTCACAAGCCAACAGAAATCAAATTAAAGGCATCTTTGACAATGCAAAACTAAATTGATCAAACTCCATCCAAGATTTTCTAGTTTCAGGCTAGGAAGAATAAAGCTTGTCTCCAAACGATGTAATCTCATCCTAAGATGTTTGAACTTCAAGCGATAAAATTCTATAGCCTCATCAAATTAGTCCTTGAGAATAATTTAGACTTGCAGCATTGGTCCTATTTCATTAATTTAGCAATCAGACTGGATTCATCACCATTTGGGCCCCTCATTCTCCAAATTGTTTTTTCAACTTTCAATATTTGGCCAGTGCTCCTTTTGAGCACTATGTATTGTACTTTTCAACTCTTTTCAGACAATTCAACCATTTCATTATTTTCAGCCAAAACTAACAATCATTAGCAGAAAACTTCACCAGGATCATTTCAACTGAATTGATAACGTCAAATTTTACCTTGAGACTTATCCGCACTGAATTAATAGATGTTTCTATTAAGCATTTTTCAGCCTCATTTCGACAGATCAAAACCTGTAACAATTGCAGAAATTTTCATACAGAAGTGATGGAGAACAATATTAATTAACTGAACATCATTTAGAAAGAGTATATACAAAAGATAAAAATCCAGATTTGATAACTGATAACAGCCAACAAGAGGCAGCTTAATCCAGAAACCACAAAGCCACTGCCAAACATGTTTAAGCTGACAAAGTTGCTTAAGATTTCAGAATAGAATAGCTAAATCCAAGGATCCCATTCTCCTTTGCTACACAAAACTTGTATGATATTTCTCATCTTACATGTAAATATATGTTTAGAATGAGGTCCACAAGTTCAAAGCAGACAAACCAGCAAGTGGAAGATGTAGTTTTCATGCTTAAACCTAATTCTAGACAATGCTTTAAATATCTAATGTTCAAAACGTTCCTAAGTATGCTACTTCAATCCATTCAACAAAAGAGGAAGACAATAAATCCCTGATAATAACTTCATTGAGGGAAACGCAATTAAAACCCAGAGGTTGAACATATAACAAGAAGCATGTAAGCGAAAGATCTTAACTTATCCCAATGTGAGGCTCTAGAATCTAAAACCACTAATAGATTTGATATTAAAAAAAAAAAAGGAAGCAATTGAAGAAATAACCCCAAGCTAAGGCCAACACAAATGTTAACAGTTTATATTCAGACAACCCTGCACCCTGTCTTCTCACTTCACTAAATCTTAGTACTATGCAGGCAACAGAGTATCTTCTAAAATTTCAGAATTTAACTGCCATAGAAGACCTATATACGAGATTTTCAACCAAGTGCACATCCCACAAGGCAAATTTTAGAGCACATATAAGCTCAAAAGGAGGAAATGGAGCATATAAACCAAGTGATTATTTTACCGGAGCTGATTTTAGAAAGTAATTTGGCCCCAAAAAATGTAACATTGATTTGAAATAAGATGGCTCTTACAGGATTTAGCAGGAGTTCATGGCTGGTCCTGCACATGAGTGAAGAAAGAATTACAATCTTCATACAGAAAATATTTCTTTACTGGCTTAACAGAACACCGTGCATCGCTGAATATAAGGAAACTAGAAGTCTGGAGTAGGAAGTATCCGAAATAAAATATGCGTAAATTTTGTTATCCCTTTAATCACTCCAGTATTTAGAAGTCAGAACCAGTTAGCTTAATTGTTTCGGTAGTTTTAATCAATGTTACTCACAGAAGGGAGGGGGGTGTAAAAATTACTACAACGACCAAGGGCGTACTTTAGTTCAACCTCTGGCTTGTTATGCCTTTCAACCTCTTGACATGGAAAGTTCTGCAGCCAGTATGAAGATATAAGACTTGTTATATGATCTGTCAGAATCTATAGTACGATTGAGAACTGGGAAGATGGTTTTCCTGAGGCTAAAGTAATAATTCCAGAACATAAATTGAACCACGAGAAGCTGAATTCAAAGATACATAGAACAATCAATGATGCCAATATTGATCTAAATCTCTCCAAGCAATAATCAGCACAAAATTCTCTCCTTTTGGGACAAGATCGAAATTTATAGTCTTGACTATTATCGTACCATTACGAACTCACAACTTCCACAACAACGCGTACCTGCAAGCACATTGCAGCCTCGAGTGTGTTCCTTATGCAGGTCAAGTATAATCGCAATGAACTAGCCTGAAAAATTCGTCCATATACAACAGAAAGGGTCACGGACTTGCAAAGTGAACGAACTATAGTTATTATGATTAGCGGCTAAGATAGACAGTGGCAAACTGTAACATGATTACGAATCAGAATTCAGAAAGGGAAAGGATGATACCATGTGCAAGAAGGCGAAATTCAATCAGCTAAGGCGTCTGCAATCCTCGATGCGTCAACGAATGAGGTAAATACGGATTCCCTACTCCTCAAAAGCGTGCTCCTCAGCCCATCACAGTCGTCTGCTCGATCGAAGAATCTCCTTGGAACCACGCGTTGAATCAGTGAAATCCACCGTATCTTTTGGGTTGAAACGGTGCGTTTCGAAGACATTTAATCCCACCAGTTCATCGAATCGACCAACATTAAAAATTCAGATCCCACGAAGGGTCGGGTAGACGGTCGTGATGGGCTGAGGAGCACGTCCAGCGACACATGTCTGAGGAGTAGGAAATCCGCGTACTTTCGTAGAGTGCAGACGAAGTTTTGTGCAAAATAAATTGGAAAATTAGGGAAGAATATCCGACCTGCCGGATTCGAACCAGCGACCTAAGGATTGTCTGCTGGATACCTCCTACTACAGTCCTCCGCTCTACCAACTGAGCTAAGGTCGGATCGTTGAATTTCGATGAATTATAATTATATAAATATTTATACTGTCCTACAGACTACGAGTCAAACGCTGCATGTTTGCCCTGGACTTTAAATATCTAATTTCTGGACTTCGATGAGGATGTTTTGTTTTGAGTTGGTTTGGATAACTTAAAGCTTTCATGATGTTAGGAATGAATGATGAATTATATATAAGATAAGAATTTTATACATCAATGTAACAATATTCATTCAAAGAAACGGGGTACAATGGGAAGGATCGAGCTTTTTGGGGAGAAATGGCATGGAGAATGGCGATGCAACTCCGTCGAAGGAGAAGCTTTGCATTTATGGAGAAAATAAATTTTCCTTTACTTGCAAACTTGAGTTTGTGGGGTTAGTTGGTAGCTTCACCGATCAAATTTTCTAGAGGAAGGGTGCCTGCTCAATAGAAATTAGAGAACGGTGAATGGTTCGTTTTCCTGCTCTTTATGATCTTCCATCTCATTTTGAATAAGCTAAATAGTAGCCGTCTATTCGTCCTCGTTCACGCTTGCTTAAGCCTTGATTCGCAGGTGGTTTTGGTGTTTTGTGCAGATCAAATCTTGGGTGGAGTAAGTTGTTAGTTGACAAGCTAAGCATGCATTATCAATCCTGTGGTTATAGTCTCTGATACCCTGATACTGTGATCACAAAATGAACAGAACAGGAATCATTCAGAGCAGAAAATCAGCTCCCTCGACTAGGTCCATCGATCTCATTTGACCCCACATTATTGGAGGCTGTGAGAGTCTACTGGCTCTAGAGGGTACTGCTTGATTTGGGTGACAAGGAATGTGAAAAGCGTGACCGTTTCATCTTCATCAGTCACGGAGTGTTGTTCAAGCTTCTTAGTGAAGAGTCAGGACGATTCCAGGTTCACATGTCTGAGATGTCACCAGGGAAAGAACATTTCTTGCAATACTTGAAAGTTGAAACCATCTGTACACTTGCTTGCATGCAAATTCACGACATTTGCATGCAACACGTGGCAAGAAAGTGAGCACACGAACAAGCTACAAAGCTAAAAACTGATAAAATATAATTGAGCAACTCGAAAACCTTTACGGAGCTAAAAATAATATAATATAAAACATAGTCTTGATCTGAGGCCTCAACATCAATCAATCTCTTGATAGGAGGGAGAGCAGTGAATAAAGGCGTACTTCAACAAGATCTCATAAAACTAAATTAAAAAAAAAAAAAAAAAAAGGCCACCAGTTGCTACTCTGAACCAACATTTACAGAGTGATTTACAATCATTGAACTTAAAAAACACTACATAGCAGATTTAAAACCGAAATGCAAAAATAAGGGGGTGAAACGGAAACCATTAGACTCCTTGTACACGCAACTTATTAGCAACATAGAGCAAATGGCTAATGTTTGTAGATGGATAATTCTGCAGCAACTTGAGATTGGACGTGAAATCACCGGCTAGGAGACGTCTCCGAACAAGAATTAGCATTGCACAGCATATCCGTAACAGAGTCTCCTATATGGTATTACAATAGTTAGTTTCCCTGAATTTTTCTTTCCATGGTGTCAAAGAACAATAACAAATTATCCATGCTCATCAACCTGACTGACTTACCGTCGTCAGTTTTATAAACAAATTTCATAAAATAGCAGCTAGTAGATAACAAAAAGCGAAGAAACTTCAGAATAAAGACCCTACCACTTCCAATCCAAAGATATTAGAAGTTGGAACTTCGTTATGTTCTATAAACGGGACCATCCAGTATGATTAAACTTCAGCTTTTTATTTGCCATCCAAAAGGAGTTTTCCAACTTCAAATCTAACACTACAACTCATTAATGCCAATGTAACTAGGAAGGCGATAGTACCTGTGGACCTTCAGGATCACTTAGAAGAGTGTCCCAAATGAAAAGGCAGTCAGCAAAATTGAATTCCTGAGTCAAGAGGAGTGTAATCCACCTAAACGCATAGAATTGGGGATTGACCTAACAATTGGTACCAGGAAAATAAGGCTTCTCTGATAAACCGCACAGCAGCAAGAGCCAAAAACAGGAATCCACAACAAATAGAACAAAGAAGCTGGCTACAAAGCATACTTTTTACATTCACTTATTATTATTCTTATTGATTGGAGGGAGGAGGAACAATCCATTGAAACACATCTAATAACCAAAGTAGACTGAAATCTTAAACCCTAGCGCCAACCAGATTTCATGATTGACAAATGTTCCGTGTATAATCTTCCCCTTCTCACCCTTTTTCTGCTCTCAAAGTGTAATGATTTTGTTGCATTAGTTCAAGCAATCCATTTTGTTCAGTCATATGAATGATAAAGGTTAAGATCATTAAGATACTAGGCATGTATAATCACTGATGGCAGTGACATATATCGCAATGACATTATAAGTTATAATAACTTTAAGGTATGCCCGCAGCATTTCTGCAACATAATTTCTGAAAACCACTTTTATCCTTTCCAAGATTTTAACCATATACATTAACCAAACATATACTCAATTAAATGTGGGGGAAAAGGGTCCCAGGCAGTAATTTTCATGCTTAGAGCTGTGAATACTGAATATATGGGTTTGTAATTTCGATGCATAATAAAGCCTTGCTTGGAAGTGTAAAAATCTTCAATGATAACCCAGCCAATCCCTGTAAAAATCCCATATGTGCATACAGTAGATATTGCATCATGTACACAAATTATTCAATAACCAACACAAGATAATTGTCACAACCAGGCTAGAAGTGAATTAAAAATGAATATAATTAACAAAAAACATGCTGCCTAGACAATCAAACCATTGCCTAACCCAAATGATTCCTGCCTTTTACTAAGATGGAAACTTGCAGGGGAACAGTTACAAAGTGATGAAAGTTATTCTTAAAATTCTCTTACTTTGGTTGTAATCTCAAGATGACGCCACAGCTCTTCATCATGTTGTCTCAGAAGCTGTGATAATCGAGCAATAGTGGAACGGATTCCCACAACACTGTTGTCAAGTTGTTGACAAAAATTATCTCTGAATCCACTTAACAGCTCAACAAAACAAAAGAATGTGTCTGCTTCAACAAAGGCCTGGATATGTTGGAATAGGGGACTGTTAATATAATAAATAAATTAATAAGCACGGAAATAACATGACTAGCAGAATCTTTACAAGTTTCCCACTACGTGAGAATATAGTGTAAAGACCCCCCAAAAAAAAAAATAGTGATATGATATTTAATTTATGGGGCAAAAAAAATCTACTGAGATTTAGAGAAGGATATACTTACTGTATTTTCTTCATCAGAATCATTTTTAAACACATAGAACAAAGGAGCCAATATCTCATTCATCCCTTGAACATATCTTACGCCTGGATTTAACTTTGCAAAAATAATTAATATGTTCTTCAAAGCCTCCTGAAATTGCCCCCAACAAGAAAATGTTTTAATAAAAAGGATTTTGCTGAAGAAAAGAAAAGAAAAGGCATGAATATGGAGATTTTGTAAATTTCAAGAGAAATAAATGGGACAACCTGATTTGATTTTGCAAACTGTGAATCACCAGAAAAAAAATTCATATCTGGATGAGTGCGCTTTACATCTCGATCAATTTGATCTATTATCTCCGTGTCCTACCAAATGCAAAAGAAAATTTTAACACCAGATTACAAATAATCGAACCACCTTCACATACCAAAAAATCAATCAGAGTTTTCACAATGTAGAGGATAACTATGTTCATTCAAGATTAAAATTTTCACAATAGCATCATTGCAACTGGTAGCGCAACAAGATTGATAAAGCTAACTAGCTAATTATCACAAGACTGAAGAAAAGCCATAATTAATACATACGAATCACAAGCTTGGCATATACATATACTACATCAAAATTTAGTTTTATGCCATAATAGAGAGGATACGGTAATTATCATTAGTCAGTCATACATTAGCAATGCACCCCTTTACTTTTATGCAAAAAAGAAAGGTCATGGGCAATTTAGTAGTTATGGAAGCAACATGGTTCACCCAGCATCAGACTTTAGAAGTGCAAGCATCTCATAAAATAATCGGTGTGTTTCTAATAATATTTTGTAATCTTATTATCACATGATGATTTTTCCTCTACAATTTTAATAAAGCCAGTCGCACACTACCTGGAAGAACTGATTCCATATGCTAGTCTTTCCAAGACTCAAGGGATGTTCCCCATGAGTGACTTCAGATCTAGAGAGCAAGCCCCGATTCCCACACTTTGCATCAGAAGGGTCACTTGTAGAGCTGTACATCCTCCTTGTAATTTCTGACTAACTAGCCACAGAAACGTTCAGGGAGCCAAATAGATGAAGAATATAATATTTCTGCATGTTAAAAGTAATAGTACAACCAAGATTCACTATTTTACTACGTTTAGCTGCATTTGAAGTCTTGAGGACATAGACTCATCCACTTAATTATGTAACAAACACAGTAACCACCAATTAAAATTAAACCAAAATTGAATCAAATAGGAAATCAGATCAAAATTCCAACTGTGGTGAAACATGTTAGTATAGTACAACTCCACAGCTTTAGTTTAACCAGAGAAGTTTTCCGATTGTTAACACTACCATTAATCTAGGGAATCTCAGGTCCCATCAAGCAACACCCTTATCTGTTTCAGCTCAAGTGTAAGCTGCTATCAAGATGCCACTAATAACGTGGATTATCACATTGATTACCAAAATAACCATTAAAAGACCGGTTTTCCA